TCACATTGTTTTCTCATCCATATCTGTGGCTGCCACCTTATCACTGCTTTTTGTCTCTGGCATTCTGCACTTCCAATTTTCCACAATACTTTCCTTTCTGTTTCATGCTGTTTGGAACATGTTTTTATGGCTGGTGCACACAACTTCGCAAGACTTCACACATCAGGAGAAAGGCTATCATCTTCCATTCCTTCCACCGGGAGGCAGGAATGACTGTTCATACTTGACCCCTCTCTCAAGTCTATGATCAGCTTTTTCTCTGTCTCCTCTGATTTCATGACCAGAACTTCCTCTACATCCTGCTCCAGTAAAAACACAATTAACTGCTGTCCTTCTCTCCCCTCCACTACTCAGTAGTAATCAGTTCTCACTCTGCTCCTATCAATGATCAGTTCCTACTCTACCTTCCTCCCATAATCCAATCATTTTCCTCTCAGCCCCCTAACAATGCTCAGACCCACCTTACCCATTTTCCCAATATTCAATTAACAGATCACACTCTTGTATTCCCTTGCCATGAGAAGATCACACTGTCTATTCTCTCTTCCATCAATCCATGATCATCTCCCCTGTGCCTCCACTCTTTAACGTGTCCCTGTCCTTGATTGGTACAAATTTTCCCCCCCCCCCCATCAATGATCATCTACGTTCTGTCTTTTTCACTCTCCCTGATCCTTAATCAGCCTCATGCTCTGCCTCCTCTTGCTTTTCTCCTTGGTCAGATCTTACTCTTCCTTTCTATGCCTCTTTCAGTGTTATGAATGTTGCTCCTTTCTCCCTTCTATTCCCTGCCATGATGAACCCACAAATCTGGATCTTGTGTGTCCTTGGTTTACAAATAGTTGCCATTCTGCACGCTCCCCCATGAACTTGTTTATCTGCTATTGTGGCAAATCTTTCTTCTGTCTTGGTCTATAATCAGCTGCTACTCTGCCCCTTCTTCCAGTGGTCATTAATGAGCTCCCCCTCTCCCTCCTATGTCCTTCAGCTCCATGATCAGGTAACATTCAGTCTCCCCCAATAATCAACTCTATTGAGATGGCACACCAGACCAAATAATACGTCTCTTATTAATCACTTAGCAGTAACAAAATATTCAGCATTAGCTAACCCATGAACATGCACCCATTTGCTAGGAATACTATTTATTTTGCATAATGTAACTGTTGTGTGGTTCATATCTGAAGTAAATTAGAATACAAAAGAAGTAGGTTCTACACGAATTCCAGTAAATGTGTGTTACATTTTCTATAAATTAAAGCTTGCAATTCCGCTCTTTATTTACAAACCATATCTACAGTATATACTGATAAATTACATTTATACTGAGAAGCACACACATAGTGCATACACAATATAACTTGATGATGTTGTCAAATGATCTCACAGCAGAGAGGAATTTGCAAGCATAATAATAACATGCGGAAAAGAGTCAGGAGTAGCCAGCACCAAACATTTCTTTCCCAGTAATAGGAAAAACAGGTCATTTCCTGCCTCATTTCTTTAGTACAAGCTGTCTTTACTAGTGACAATAGTGTTAAAACAATTAGCTGGCTTTTGCTCAAGCAAAGTGGGGACTCTCCGAGGGAGGGAGGAGTTTAAAGTGGCTTGCGTCATCAGGAGGAGCCAAGTTCAAATTGGAGGAAAAGGTTTGTATTCAACAGCCAAAAAAGCTCTTGAAAGTATAACACAGGAAAACCGTCATACTTCAAGACCATAACAAAGAAAAGCCCCTAAAAAAAAGACACAAGAGGAATTTCCAAATGAGTTGCCAGTTACAGGAACAAAATGAAAAAGCAGGTCACCAGCACTCAGATTATTTAAATAGATATGTCCTTTTTAATGGACAATTGTGTCACGACAATCAACAAAGCCGACGTTTCGGGGCCGCGCAGGGTCCCTTCTTCAAGGCAGATAGATGTGACCATCTATCACATCTATCTGCCTTGAAGAAGGGACCCTGCGCGGCCCCGAAACGTCGTCTTTGTTGACTGTCGTGACGCAATTGTCCATTAAAAAGGACATATGTATTTAAATAATCTTAATGCTGGTGACCTGCTTTTTCATTTCGTACTTTGCACGGTGCCATCCGTGGTAGTTACTACAAGTTACTACAATCCCGGCCAGTAAGAACGATGGTGTTCTTACTGGCCGGGATTGCTGTAAGGTGTGCGGAGAGCACCCTCACCAACTGAAACCAGTTACAGGAACAAGACATTCTGAGCCATCGTATTTCACCCCGGGAAACTGCATCACAATCATATGTTCTGAATACTTCTGCTATGAATAAAAATAATTCTAATTAGGTAGTACATGATGATAATAATGTTTCTTTACTTTACCAGCTACTATGTGTTGGCAGCATCTTTAAACTACACAGACTTAATGCAGGTGCTAGAGTTTGTATCTTAATCCTATCAATCAATAAGCAACAATTGCAGGCTTATCACAGTTTTTCTAACACAAACCAGCCATAGAAATGTTTTTGGCGTTTGGGGGTCAACCAGTGAAGGCCATTTACACTTCACCTGGGACAGAGAGATCAAATTGAATGGTGTACGCCCTGTTAGAGGTTCTGCACCTGTCTACCAATTGCTCTCTTGTTACCCTATCTCAGGCACCTCTAATGGAGTCTATAAGTGGTTTGTTCTGCCATTGTTAACATCAGGAAACCCATAATGAGTAATGACATTAATTACATGAATGTAGACAGGAAGTGGCTGCTAATAGCTGAAATGCAAAAAAGCTGAAAGATAAATAAAATGACAATTATGTATGATACGCGCAATGGTAATGTCATCCAGTTAGGGTTTACATCTATTTTGGCTCTTAAACTTACCCCTAACACATAACCACTAACCTAACCCTTAGCGCCTAGCATGACCCTAACACTTTAAGAGGACCTGTACTGTGGAAGCTGTGCCCACAAACTTGCAAGCACAGGGAAAATATATTGTCATTATAGCCTATATGCTCCCTGCAGATGATCTTTTCCCCACTGCTGACTTACCACGCCTTGTTCAACACTCTCTGTCTCTGTGTGAAGGTGCCATCTTGGTAGAGGCAGAGCTTTGCATCCCTATGTCAGAGCTGCCACCCTGAAGACTCGCAATCTAAAAATTATTGGGGTAATATTAAAGAAGGAGCAAAAGAGTCAAAGGAAGCATAGATCCACAGAATGAATGAGGCTGAAGCATGGCAATTCATGTACGGCAGATCCTCAGGTACACCTTCCTCTCCAGCAACCATTCAGGAGAACAGTAGTGACATCGACAAATCTCACTCCAAATGTCATGGAGCGGTCCGAGGCACAAATGCCTAAGAAGATTGCATAGTGCAGATATACAACTATTAGGCTGCAGAACAGGAGTGCCTAGGCATCCTCACATGTTAGGAAGTACACTGCTATTTTTTAAGAGGAATTCCATGGAAAAGGTAATTTTTCAGGGTACTGCTTAGGTACAATTAAGGTTACTATATGTTTCCACGCCGCTCTACGATGTCCGCCGTGTGGAGCTGCAGTGTAGTGCACACGTATGCACTGTGTGTCTTCTTAAAGGTACAGTGCTTGACAATTAAGGAACAACCCCGCCTCCAGAGATGACAACACTCTGATGTCAGCAGGTACAAATGCTAGCCTCACATAGCATTCTGAGCTTGGTTATTGCACAGCTTGCCTTCGTAGTGCCTAGTGTATTAGTTATAGTATATTTCTTGTGTACCGTATCTTGCTACTTCCTGACCACGAATCTTGCTGCCAGCCCCTGACCCCTGCTATTCTCATGGACTACGACTTTGGATATCGATTTAGCTACAACGTTCCAGACTGCTCCTCTGCTGGCCACCACCACATGAGAGACTGTGCATTACCCAGGTCTGCTCGTGTGGAGGTACCATTTGTATTGGCAAGTCCCCTGCATCTGGGTTCCTACGAACTACTCCCTGATAAGTACTGACCAGGCTACAGTCAATGTGATGCGCCAAGAGTGATCAGTACTAACCAACAGAGTAATCCGCTGTTTGAAACAGCAGTAAAGCTACAACGGGACAATGCAGGCTTCAAACTATTAGCAGCATATTGAAATCCCTTTAATCATTTCGGGATTTTAACAGTGTGGGCTTTATCCGCTTATTTAAAAAACAGTGTTTACAGCAATGAGGATATACAGGAATTAGTTCATGTTCGTATCCAATCTAGTTTCAGTTTAAATGTATTAACTCCTGTCTTTCAACATAGGAAATGTTCTTGCGCCTTGACCTTCGGTTATACTGTATGCCAAGTCAAATGTAACTATGCATAACCAGACCTTTCCTTTTGTAAAAATGAAACACAAATACTGTATATTACAATCCTTTTTTTGTAGTTTTAATAATACTTTCCTTTCCTCATAGTAAAGTTTATGTAGTAACTGCTTATAATTGTTTAAATTTGGAAACCAAGGCATTCATAAAAATACATGTTGTAGTATAATCATACTACTCAACCATGAAAAACAGACACGGGTTGGATTAAAAAAAACATTCGTTTGTATTACGTGTGGCTATGCATGAGGATCATCTAATAAAAAAAAAATCACCCATTGTTTTCCGCTGAAATGTGGGAACTATGAAGAACAAGGCCTACTCCCATGAATGCAAGATAATATGAGGTCATCCTGGGATTCTATCAGCAGCATACAAACTCTCAGCTTAAATAATGTCTTATATTACTACAAAACTCCTTTGAGACCCCCAGAATCCTTATATTCTACTGTAAGAAGTATGATATTCTATCTGATATAAAAATGAGTCACGTATGCACAATGGTGATTGAAAACAAAATCTTCTATGTTAGCCATAACTTTGTAATCCTACATACATTGATAATTGCATAAATACCAACATTTTATTGTCAGCATTTCACTTTAATTGTCTGTTATTTATAAGATTATTTTATTAATATCGATGATATTCACCGTCATAATCTATGTAAGTACACGGCCATCTTTTAGGTAACATACCTGGTTGAGGTGGGGAACCACATCACAGTCTTCTTTCAGCTGTTCCAAGTGATGGATGAGAAAGTTGCTGACACCAATCGATCGGCAGACTCCTGGTAAAGGAATAACAGTGCTCTTCAAGTATGATGTGAGTTTATTTTTAATCATTTTTTATTGGATTTTGTAAAAAAAAGAAAACAAATGTGTCATGTAAAGCAGTATTAGCTCTCAATCCATATATGTAGTATACAAAAATTATTCAAAGAACAGACACAGAAAAAAATTAAAATTTGTTTGTCATCTGTGACATCATGGAAAAGGTGGAAAAAACGGACTTAGTGAATCAAAGTTCCGTCTGGCGATGCCATTCGCATGGCACTAGCTTCCCTAGAGGGTACTAACAAGTATAGGAAAGTCCTATACTCAATAGCGCCATCTATGGGTGCTAATGCTGTGCAAACATCATCCTCCCAGCTATACGCTAGGTGGAACCTTTATAGATTAACCCCTTATGTAGCAGTAAACGTCCTATGTCTAAGTACTCTTATGCCAACAACCTCACATCTGTGTACCTACAGTAAGAGATCATCTAAGGCATTGTGTCTCTGACTGTTAGCCCTGTGTAATCCTGAGTTAGACATGGGGATATCACTACTGTAATTGCTGTTGTTCTACTTGCAGGAGATGAAACAGTACCTGAGGACCCACAATGCAAGGATCTCCCTGCTTCAGCTTCATTCATTCTATGCTTCCTTCCTTCAATTGAAGTCCATTGAGTTTACATTGAGGCGCTTAATCTGCCAAAAAAAAGCTTGTGTACTTTTTTTTCCTGCGACGGGCGTTTTGCTACAAGCAACAGAACTCTCAGATGTGAACAAGGCCATAGAAATTAATAGGATTTTGTTTAGGGTGTTTTCTAGGCCAGAAAAAGCTCTGCAAAATGCTAGGTCTGGTCTCTGATCAAGCGCTGAATCGTGTCTCTTCTGTCCCACGGAATCTGTGCGGGTGCACGCTGCTGCATTGACTTACCGTTTCTCTCCTCTTCTCCTGGCCGAAGATCTCCACTGCGCATGCGCCAGCCCCATGATCCTTTGCGGCCGCCCAAGAATCTTTAGATCTTCAGACAGGAGTGCATGGCAGAGACAGCGGTGAGTTTTAACTGGAGGTGCACTGAAATGGAAATTTTAAAACCAAAACGAAACCGAAATAAAAAAAATTGGCAGAGTCCTCAATCTCTTTTTCTGAATCCCCTGTTATCAATTAACATGAATCCTCTATGAGTGTTCCTGTTCATTGATAACATGAGGACATGGTATGTTTAGTATAACTACAACTATGAATGAACACGAGGGGATGTAGATCACTCCCATTCATTCATGATTGAGGATATCGTTAACATACCATGCCCTCAATTATGTACATTATTATATCACTGATCGCTGAGTGTTTGTACCATGCTCTCCTCTCTGACACGCTGTCACAGGAGGCTGAGCGAGCGGTGTAGGGAGTAGAGCTCGGCCTCCTGTGACAGCGTGGCCTATCTCCGCCCCCACACCGCTCTGCCGATCTGTGATAGGATGCTGAGTGGTGTGTGAAGAGAGACGCCGGCCACTCACAGCGCTCTCCTCTCGCAGCGCTTGGTAGGCTATTACACTTTCTCTCCTCCCCGCTGGGACACAGAGCAGCGCCCAGCGGAGTAGGAAAGAAACTTGGGATGCGCCGATGTATCGGCAGGGAAAAGGGACCGATGTATCGGCAGGAAAATGGCACTTTCGGCATTATGCCAAAAGTGCCATTTTTGGCCGATATGTTTCGGCGGCCGATATATCGGTGCATCCCTAGTTTTAACCCTTGTGTAAACTTTTTTTTTCATGTTTTTGCATATATCCACTGCTTGCTAGCAGTAAAAATATGGAAAAAAATGTGAGGGTTTAATAATCCTTAAACCTTGTAACTACTTTAAATAATGTAACAATTCACAATAGCCTATTCTCTGGATCCTTATCAGCCTCAGGGCAACCTCACATGGATTTGTTGCAGATGACTCAGTAGTTTATTTATTTATATTACAAACAATCGAATTTGTCCGTTTTCAGAAAAATATACTTCCTGTAAAGTAACAAAGTGTATTGGTGACATAATACAGAACAGTGTGCACGTATACAAGATTGTAAGTGTGTGTCATATTTTTTTGTTTTTTAAATGCCTGGAAATAGTGAGTCACTGACCCAGAACAAGCAAGGAACAACCAAAGTCAGGGCCCCTTTTCAGCATACTTGTCCCAGGTTCCAGTGATTAAAGTGGTAGTTCACCTTAGAAATAAAAATACATCTACATCGATATCCCATGGTTACCTGTATATACCTGTATATATCTGCATGTGCATAGTTTGGATTATGACCGCGCTGCTATTTTACCATAGTCAGCATGTGAATCCGGCGGCTACTTTCAACTACACCATGAATCACAGGCTTCAAACAGAATCCTTTGATTGACAGCGCAGTTGTAAAGAGATGCAAGCTGACGTGCACGCCCATTGCCTCTGCTGCTCATGTCTGTTAATGATAGGGGCGCTAATTTAAAAGGAGGACTATGGGGTTAAGGCTTTTCCCCATAGTTCTCCTTAGGGTTAACGGGAGGACACAAACAAGCGCCCTCCCATCACCCTAGGCTCAGTATACTGAGAAGCCGCAGTATACCGCAAGCTACTGCTCGCAGTATACTGAGACGCCGCAGCTGAAGCGGATCCCGACAATTGTGCTGGGATCAGCCCAGCTGCGTGACTGACAGCTGGCTCTGCCTATCTAGAGGCAGAGCCAGCTGTACCCACCCCCTCCCCCGTCCGTTCCGCCAGTCACGCTGGTGGATCGGAGCGGGGAGGGGGGAATCCAGCCCCTCCCCTGTCAAGGCAGAGAGTGGTGACAGGATCGAGAAGTGAGCGAACGCCGGTATGTGTTCCCTCACTTCCCGATCTACTGAGCCGACCTGTGACAGTCTCATTGTCACAGGTCGGCTAGAACTATGAGGTGAATTAAAAGCACTCGCCTCATAGTTCTCCTTTAAGGGAAAGCCAGTGACATCATGTCCCACTTACTGCTTTCCTACTGTAATGCAAAGCAGGCTATATTGGCTGGTATAAGGCTGGCAAGCAAAGAAGAGTGAGAAAATCAATTTATTGAATAAGTGTGGGTCGGAATAATTTGACACTGGCCATTTGAATTGGTGAATGTAGTAGTTTATTTCTACTATAAAAAAAGAACTTTAGACATAAAGCAAGTGTGGTCACCAGGGAACTCATATTTTCACAAGTAGAGGTTAGTCTAGGTCTAGGTAGATTTTGTATCCCCCAACACAGATTTCCTTCAAATCAGTGCCTTTAACCCTTTTGCTGCCAAGGCCTTTTTTGCACACGTTATAATCCACAGGTGCTCATTAAGGTGACATTAGGAGTCTTTTAGACTGCCAGTGTTACCTATCCACTCCAAATAAGCTAATCTGGTATATATACCTCACTGTATACAGATTTTGTTAATCTATTGCAAAGATTCTTACCTGGATAATCTGCCATTATTAGCACTTCCTTCAACACTAAGTTATGTCCTTGCAATAAGCAGCAATATTGTCAGCCTACCATGCAAGCCCCTTCAGTTATCCATTGGGCTGACTATCAGGTCTATAAGATGGACAGCCCAATGGCAAACCAAAGATGCTCTTACTGCAGGCAGACAACGCTACTGCTAATTGCAAAGCGTTGTCAGCCTTAAAGTAGAACTAAAACCAACACTTTTTTTTTTAGATTGTTTTAGATAGAGTGGAGAAGGATTAGAATACCTATCAAGTTTTTTTTGCCATCTGTGTATTTGTTAGGGAGATTAATCCTCTTTATTCGTCCTGGTGACCATTATCACCAAGAGTGAAAGTGAAGGAAAATCCCAAACTTTGAGTCGTCACCAAAACAGGAATAGATGGCAAATCTTCCAATGGGGACACAGGTTTTGGTGACCTTGCTGACTACTCGGGATTTCCCTCTCAAGACAAAACAATGCTTGAAGCTCCAGTTGAAAGAAAATATACTGTATAGCATATACTGCATAGTAATATGTTTGACACCCAAGTAATTTTTGGCATGTATTTTTTTACCTCAGACTTCACTTCCCACTTTCTAGTGTAATTAATCAATATACTGTATATATTCATTAATTGATTTTAAATATTTTATTCAATGCAGATGTAGCGATCACCCCCTAAGGAGCCGCTGGAATAACCAGGTCATCACTAGTCTATCTAGGGCAGGGGTAGCAAACCTCCGGCCCTCCAGCTGTGGTGAATCTACAAATCCCATGATGCATCTCTCTTCGGGAGTCATGTCTGTGGCTGTGAGAATCTTGCAATGCCTCATGGGATTTGTAGTTCCACCACAGCTGGAGGGCCCGAGGTTTGCTACCCTTGATCTAGGGGATTTGATCTTCAGCTGCCCCATTACCATTTAACCGCCCTCTTCCAGTGCCCACAAAGCTGAGATCTACTCCAGTAGTACAATGCTGAATAACTTTTATTAACATCATACTGGGGAGAGAGGGTATAGGGATCCTAGGCAACCAAGGTATAACAGACTCACCATACCTTTTAATCATCTCAGTGTAGATCCACTTGTGGTACAGTGAACAGTAACTGAAGTAACAGATGGGTAGGGATTAGCACAAATCCTCGGCAGGAGAGACACCAGCCATGCTCCTGAGGTCCTCTAAATTCTGAGTACCTTTAGGAGCCATCCATCTTCCTGGTTCTCCTCCTCTGGCAACAACACAGGCCTCCTCCGTAACTGAGGCCCATGGTAACACTTCCCCCACCACAGCCCATGCGCACCGTCCAGGCCTCAGGCCTAGCTTGGGGGATGGCTGGACAGCACACAGTCCAGTGCTAATCCATGGCTGGTCCTGACTAGTCTCTGCACATGGCAATTCCTTCCAGTATATGTACCCTATCCCAGTATGCATCACTGGTTAAGAGAAACCCAGTGATTGGCTGCTGTACTGCACATACACTTACAGTGCCTCTCTTTGGCTGTCCCACAATGTAGCAGAGTCACACTCTACCCAGGGGGGTACAGTCA